ATCCCAGCGACACAGTTAGTCGTTAGTAGGAAAATCTGTGCCGAAAATCTTCAGTTTAAAAGCTAAATAATTTCAAAGCTTTTTCTTTTCCTTCTTTCCCCCTTTGAAGTCGAATTCTCGAATTCATCTGGAAGGCCAATTTTGGCCTGCGAGCCGAGGTGGCCGATGCCTGCCATAAACGCTTCTCTAACTTGGTAAGGTTCAAATATGGCCTAACAGCAATTTATAAGCATGGGCTAACCACGTGGCGTCGGTCAGCGAGTACGTTCCACACTAATGACCTTGTGCGCTATATCTCTTCACTCTTTTTTGCGATACTCGTTGCGGCATTCCCGCGCCCTTGTGATAATGCTCCGAGAGAAATTCACAACGATTGGAAGTTGACTGGTTCGAAGAGGACCGCTCCGCCTTCTTGTGGGGATGCGGTTGTTGTTGGTGTTCGTCTGATTACTGTACATTTTTCGAGATGCCGCAATGAAGCATACGAAAATTTGAGGACACATTGGTGCTCATTTTGTTCTGCAAATATTATTATCCGAATAAACATCAATCATGTCATTGATATTTAATCTGATAATAATTTGGGCGACTATGCTCGCTGCATGTGATTNTAAACATCAATCATGTCATTGATATTTAATCTGATAATAATTTGGGCGACTATGCTCGCTGCATGTGATTGTAATATGGCGAGTATGCTGACCCAATTGGTGCCGAGGAGGGAACAAAGGTTGGAAAAAAAAAGAAGAAAAAATCAAATTCTAATCATTGCTGAATCAGTAGAATGGGAATGATCAAAACTAGATAAGTGGACTAGATTCCCCTTTCGATTTCTATCTCCCTCCCCTCCCCTTCCCCTGTAAAATAATTAACGAATTTTTAACAAGGATAAGAAGCCGATTTTATATGGTGGAATTAATTGGAAAAATATTTGGAGCAATTGTGTGGAGGTGATATATTGGGAAAGTGGACTCCAGGCTTTAACGAATCTACGGGCGGAAGAGAGTTTCTTCATGTTTGGACTTATTCAATGCTTGAAGAAATCCGAAAAATTCATCCGTTGAGAGATCAGCCTGACGTTGAATGATGCTGCAGTCTGTTCTAAGATCAATATAAAATTTCGCAGTCCTACAGTTCGTCATCCTGCTATTGATAATTTTCCCTGGTATTCGGATACGCTCCCACATTGCCTTTTCGAAACGAAACGTGTGCATTTTCTTCGAACGCTTTTAACGACAATAGCGTAACCTTTGTTACGGAATGATCACGGAAAGACCAAGAGGAAGAGATGTGCTCTAGGATGAATGAATTTAGGTTAGATACTTTGCTTAGTAATCTTAAGGTTAGGTACTTTGTTCAGTAAGGATTAAGCTGACCGTTCTCAATATGAGTTATGCCTTATATCTTCCGTCCCACTTGTCCGCTGCAAAAAATATTTGCATATTCGTAATCAGCTATACGAGCCCTACAGAATGATATGCATCTCACCCCGAAACGTTGGGGTAAATTCGTGACCTTCCCTTGTTAGTGTTTGCTTTTTCAACTGCACTGGAAACATGATGGTGACATTTCAAACTTCGGTCATTTATGACGCCTCGGTCTTGGATGAATGAGGATGGAGCTTATTCTTGAATGTAGATGTTGAGAGGGTTGCTAGGATTGCTCTTCTCAGTTCTGATCAATTTGCTAGGCAAACTCAACATTAACAACTTAGATTTATCGCTTTTCACATGATGGCAAAGCTGATCACTTCATTTTGGAATACAGCAGAGAATTCTACTGCAAGAGATTACAACAGATTGCAATTGAATCGATAGGTAATTTGAAATCTAAAAGTGTAAAATCGGCCGAAAATGTGACCGAAGATGTTAGCGTGTGATTGAAGTAACATTGGATTGTTGATGAAATTGGTTTGGTACAGTAATTTTATTATCGTTGGAATGCGTTTTTGATGGATGCATCATACAAGTCAAACCGCATGATCAAATGTTCAAACTTCATTTATGCAATCAAATATGTTGCTTGTCACAATATTCTCAACAGAATATATAGAAATTTTGATTGACATCTTAGTGATTTAGTTCGATGGAATTTTTCATATTTTTTGTTCTTCTTAACTGCCCCTTTATGGCGCCATCTCTTTCACTTATCAACTGCCTAACGCTTGAAAAAAATTGCTGTCTTGCCCAAATGAAAACTATAAGGTTCTGGATCTATTTTTAAAAATTATATGTTAACCGCGACTTCTATCATATACAATAAATGATTCGCGACTGCATCAAAAAATAAATCAACGAATCGGTCGAATAAACGAATCCGATCGGAACTACCCTCCTTAATGCCACGGTTTTAGGGATCTAACATAACGCATTCATTATCCACACGAAAAGAGGCTGCAGTAAGATACAACGTAATTACATCATGAACTTAGATTATCCACGTGATTCATTTTGTTGATTCGTATTAAAATTACTTGACGGTGTGAAATCATCCGAACATTCAATGAAAATTGCTCAATTTTAGAGAAATATACCTCAGAATCAAAACCCTTCGATGTATATAACTGTTATCGATTGAATTTTCTCAATTCAAGGATTGAAGAGGCATTCGATTGTTGATAACGTTGGTTTGGTTGAATGTTGTTATCAGCGATGTAATTCGTTTTTGATGGACGCATCGTAAAAACCGAATCGCGTTATCAAATGTTCAAACTTCATTTCTGCAATAAAATACTCTGTTTGTCACAATCCTCTTAATAAAATCCACAAAAAATTTTACGGTCGCCTCAGTGATTTAGTTCGATGGAATTTTTCGTACTTTTTGTTCTTATTAAGTACTTCTGCAAGTCGCCGTTTCGATCGCTTATCATTCCGCATGACGCATAAACTTTTCGTGGCCTTCAGTTTCTCAAATCGCTGCCGTACACCAGTGAACTCCTTGATGAAATGAATATTCAAAGAGTATTGCTTAATTCTAAAAAAGCACACTTCAAGAGTATTGTATTGCAGTTTACATCGAAGGTATTCATTTTTCCGTTCATAGATGAGCTTAGATTTGCGCAGATCACCATTCAACTTAGCGCTGTTCAAGCCTAACGGAGTCTGAATAATCTGAATAAACACGTCAGGGAATGGCGTACCATTAAACACGGCGTACCATCGAGGTCCGCACATCTAAACGAACGCCGTTTGTGATATTATCGCAAGAATCGATACGTTTTTTATTGCGCATACGATTGAACGGATCCTCTGATTATTCTTCTTCCGAATGCTCACACGCCAATTAATTTCATGTTGAATTTCATCACTGAATTCTGCTTTCGCAGATCACAAAAACGCATCTGAATGGAACCGAAATTCGAAATATGAAAGAGTGAATTTGGCTGCAAATGTGGTGAAAGATGCTAGCATGTCCTTTACGCAGCATTCAATTATTCATGAAAATAGTTTTTTGGATGATTTTATCAGTGACGACTGTGGCTGTCGTTGGAAGAAGGATCGTAAAACTATGCGTTTTGTTTGATTACTTGAATGTTTGACTTGAATTAAAAAACTTCTCTCTCACCAGATTTTTGCTGTGATTACAATAATTTTATTGACAATTATATTGCTATTAATTGATAAGTGTTCATAAACGTTCAACAATAACGTATATAAGAGATGAATGGAACATGCTTCTGCAGTCTTCATCAAGTTCTGATCGTTCTGCTTGTTTATCAGCAGAAGCTCTTCATCAGTGAATTCCTCGTTTATGAGATGTGGCTCACTTCAGTTAGGATTTTAGTTGATAGTCTTATTTCGAGAATATTCTCGTAGTCATTCAAACAAACAGTCATCAGAATATGCCGGTACTGGCATATAAATTAGTGTGAATGAGGTAGGATTTGGAGGAGTTATATGCGACTTCTCGTGAATGATTCAATCACTTGACAGGATATCTGCACGGTCTCGCTCCCACATTTAGATTCGTTACTGAAAGCAGTTGTGAAATTCAAGTAGGGGAGGGATTCACCTGAATTCTGAACGGATTGAGCGTATATGGCTGCCTTTGTTGCGAAGCAGTGCGTTACATCGATTGCATGAATATGTATTGAAGAGTAATTTCATTTGCGATATTTGCAGAAATAAGTTGAAGAAGACGTTCTGAGAAAGTATCGTCTGGAAGCGAAATGGCTGCGAAACAGTAAGTTTTTCGTTTCATTGCTTCACCGATCAATTCACATTTTTGTATTTTTTCTTCTGCTCTTTATTGGGATACAGTACAGAATTGTATCGAATGACCAGAGCAAAGTATGGTTCATTGATTGTGACTTTCAAAAATTAATGATCAGTTCCACGACGTAACCTCGAGAAACACCGTATGATGCCCCACTCGACCTGTTATAGCCGCATCGTTTTGATGAACTTCTCACTGATATCCAATTATTTTACTATGAATTTACCGTTAGTATCCCACGAAAGAGGTTTTATCGATTTTGTTATCATTTGTTTGTTGGTGATGGTGGTAACAATCAGTGATGATTGCAATTTTATTATGGCATTGGTTGTGATTGTTTACAGTTTAAAGAGACAGAAAATATTAGAGAGACCTAAATTATTGACTGTTAGAGATCTAATTAAAGCAGAGAGGGTTTTACTTGATGAGAGAAGCATTGATAATTGTCCAGTCCATAATGCAAGTTTTACCAGGGAGCCACCGAGTGAACAAGATTTGCACGAGAAGTATTGATAATTGTTCAGTTTATAATGCAAGTTTGGCCTGGGAGCCGTGGAGTCAACAAGATTTGCACTTATTTTGCAAATAAGTTCAATGAAGACACAACGCTCGTATTCGATGCTTTGAACTGTTCCATACTTTAACATTCTTATTTCAATATCGGTATGATGTGTTCATATGAATATTTGAACTGTTCCAAACTTTAATATTGTTATTTCAATCTCGGTATTTGAACTGTTCCAAACTTTAATATTGTTATTTCAATCTCGGTAAGATGTGTTCATATGAATAATTCAAATTCAGTGCATGTGAATGATTCAAACGAACTGAGCAGGACCAAAGACGAGGAGACTTTTGCGCCCTTCAATTCGATAACTCCTCGCGATCATCTTGGAATCGGCGAGTGTGTGGGTGAGGGTGGTTATGGACAAGTTTTCCGTGGAAAATGAAAAACAAAAGAAAAAGTGATGACGGACAGGTTGAAGCAAGTTGATGTGCTCAAAAAAGAGGTTCATTCATTTTTCAATGCAGATTTATCATTTTATTGAGACTCATGAATTGAATATTTTGTATAACATTCACT